GAAAGTGACCTTATCTAGGGGATTATTAATATGATTTTCTTTTCTTGTATTAGATTTTGTATATGGTATTATGGTATATATATTTTTAAGAATCAGAAATATTATAAATATTTTTAAGTACAAATTTTCTTTTCTGTATTTTACTTTCCCTGTGTAAATAATGCACATAACAATTTCCCAGCAAAGTTGCGGATACGCTGCGAAATTTTTTCGTCGCGGAAGAAATGGCAAGGCATCAGTAAAGAAATCAATTAAGTGTGTGCGTCCATGTGGGCAGTGGGTGGTACAGTGTGTGGTTCAGTGGGTAGTCCAAGGGGTTGGTACAGTAGTGTGTAGTGAACTGTGGGCGGTGTTTGCTGCGATGGCGATAGATAATAATGAACGATAAGTGTTAGAGTTGCCGCCTGCCATCAGTCACCGCCCATCCACTGCCATCCACGACCCACTAGCCACCGATGAACCGAGGGGCTGTGGAATCCTTGAGCCGTTCGAGAGCATTGTTTGGCATCGCCCAAGCCCAAGTTTCCCTCTCCATTTGTTGACTTCGAGCCTGAGTGCATGTGTAAATTTAGCTAACATTTTAAGTGTCAACTTGCTATGACAACTAGTTGGGCTACCCATGGCTCGCCCAGGAAGTCCGTATCCGGAAAATGGGTCTGGAGGCAGCTTTGTGTGATTAATGGCACACCGCAAAGTATATTAAATATGGAAATAACATAGGATATATATGTTTTGCTAGAAATTAAAATGATCTACCTTGAAGGCACGTGGAAACGCAGTGATTTCGTGTATTTCATAGACGAAAGTTGTCATGTGTGTTTATTTTTGCATGATTTATATACAGACAGCATGTCTAACAAGAGGAAACCTATTTCTCAAGTAGGGAATGCATTCACAAAAGCATTTCCTATCTGATATCTGAAATACATATGAAAGTATGGAGTGCTATACCTCGTATCTTATATCGTAAAAGTAAATTTTAAAATTTTCTTGACGTAATTTTCTGTTTTTTTGCAATCCCTAAATCATATAAATAATTCGCAAGCCCAACTTAGCTCTGGTTACGTGGTTTCAATGCCGTTAGAGAAACTAAGCCAAAATACAAAACTGTTCCGCACAATATTCACTGTGATTAATGGTAGTTGGTTATGCCACAGAGGGTGCGGTTCTTCAAGTTGACGGAGTAAAATTGTTTTCGGCAAGCCGGAAAAGTCTAGTTAACGGAATATTACGCATTACATCAGCGGCCAAAAGTAGTCGACATGCATGCACATAATTCCAGATGACAGTGGGGAGATGGATGGCCAAAAATGGCTCACCACAATTTTCAGGTAAGAGTTGCCGTTGAAGTTTCCCCAGTTTTCCCAAGGAAATAAAGCTTGCTAGTCCTTAAGACCATTTAAGCCCTTTGTTGGCTGCTAATATGACTTTGTGTCTTGATTAATTTTCCCAGCTTCATACAGAATTCATTTAAATGGAAATGGCAAGGAAAATTTTGCAATTGAATCTCACAAGGGAGCAAATGTCATCGCTCTTTTTGACTTTTAAACAAGGCGAGAGAGATTTCAAAATTCAAATTTCATTGGCCCCCAAAAATTGTTGCGGGCTTCATTTCTTGCCTTTGATCGTTGCAAAAAAAAAATCATAAATAAATAAAGCGAACAGAAATTAAATCAAATTGCGTGCTTAAGCTGCCAGGGCAAATAAAAATACCGAGCGACCGCACCTGTCTCAGTTTTCCTCCTTTTTCCGTGTTTCTGTGTTTCCGAGTTTCCCGGAGTTTTCCCCTCTCCGTCACCGTTTTTTCCCCGGTGTCCGCTTGTCGCTGACATGTGAAAGATATTTTAAAGCAAATATTTGCGCAGTGTTTGCGGTACCTTGGATTGTATTTTTTCCTTTTTTTTCTGGGTTTTTTTTCTGCCCCATAGGCAGTACACAGTCGCAGGAGCGACTGAAACAGATATGTGCCTTTGGGCGGGCCGACATGGCGTATGCGTGATGCGATGTGTGCTCCCCATACTGGGAAGCCTGCAGATTACGCTGCGGATAAGCAATGTGTTGGAGCATGGGTGGCGGATGAGCAATGAGCATGCGATTAGTTGCACTCATCCCCCCGAGGCCTTTGGACTTGGAAAGGCATGCTGGCGGAGTGGAATTGAGTGGAAGCACTGTGATCGGATTGGGGAGTTCAACTTGATTTTCCCGGAAGCAATGCCAATTTCTGTATGTCAAGGAATATTCGATTCTCTCTGAGCCAAAGAAAATAAGTAAGCAGTTTTAAACAGAAATTCAGATACAAAGGACTGCGTAATTAACCGAAAGAGAAATCGAATTTGGAGGTTGTATGAAGCTCTTCTCCAACTTATATATGCAATGTTACTAGCTTAAGTTTATTGCAAAAGACTAAGTAAACCTAAAAATAAGCAACGCCTATTGCCTTCTGAAAATACTATCCATTTCCTTATTTTATATGCTTGGACCAAATTACGTATACGCCCCGTACACCTGAAATTCGTGCCATTTACTTATTTATTGACTTTGACGGGGCGGCAAACAGCCGAAATTGACCCACATAGTCGGTTTATGTCTATCAATGAAGTGACAGACAAACAAAAGACGTCCTGCCTCGCCTTGCACAAGAGGCAAGTTGAAATTTGTGGCCTGGCTGCCTGGCCTGGCATTTTGGCTACCTTTCGCTGTTTTACGACTTAATGACTCCACCGGGATTAATATGACTAATGGTGCTTCGCTTTTTATTCGATACCTGCCCAACTGACTTCCCATTTGCCGGCCATACTGCCACAAAAATATGGCTTTTCTGCAATTCATGTCCAACGCGGCTATGGTGGTCGGCAGTGGGGAGTGAATAATAATTATGGGCTCTCGGCCTGACTTTGTTTGGGTCTCTGTAATGTGCTGACATGCTATTTTTCGCCTGAAAAGAATTTTACGTTATTTATATGAATGCTGACTACTCTTTAAAAAGCGAGGGAATGTGCCAGAATGAGAAGATATTATTGAAATTTTTATAATTTAAGAAACGTTCTTAAGAGCTTTATAAACAAAAATACTTTGCCCAAAAGCTATGTAAACCTTGCCCTTTTCCAATTTCAAAATATATTTTTAAATATTGAACTTTAAAAGGTAATAAGCCCCCGAAGTCCTTCGACTTTTCTATCTGCCCTAAAAGCCCATTGTGGCTTGTTGTTACACCAACTAATCTATAAATATAACTGTAGCCCAGCTGGAAATTTAAACATTTGACACCCACACAAACAGACAGACACACGCACACAGTGCCACTCGACACGCACCCGACCTTTGACCCATGTACGAGTACATTTGAAGTGGCCGTTTGGCTGTCATTAGCCGGCTGCAGTGACAGAGGAAACAGCAACTACAAGTTGGCCAACATTGGGCCAAACAAACAGTTTATCAAGGCGCCCGCCCGGACTTCAGCAAAGGGTCAGTTTGAAGTGGGAGTCCAGGAGTCCCACTTATCTGGTGGCATGCATCAGTCAGTCAGGCAGTCAGTCAGCTAGTCAGTCGGGAAAATTAATTAACAACAACATTGACACTTGAGCATTTGGCAGGACGTGCAGACAGGACGGAGCCAGCCACTGCCACAGCTCCTTGCAAAGTCAACAAGGTGTTGTCAAGTTGAGGTCCTTTCCAAAGTTGCTCGATTTGCTCCACTCCCGCCGGCCCATCCCATCGATCTCGGCGAATGTTGTGTATTGTTTTGTAACGTTGAGCCTGCTGTTGTGGCTGCACGGTGAGAAATAATTTATAAATATTTTTAAAAATATAAAAATAAACATGAAATGATATTGAGAGTGATGTTATTAAATCATTGAGAACATGAACATATAACCACGTTTATCTAACATTTTGTGTTTTCTTTTGGTTACCAACCGAAGTATATTATATTTTGGAGTCGAATCATTCAACACTAGAGTTCCTCTTAGTTTTTTCTCGCCATGTGGCATGCCAAGCTGTTTGTCTGTTCGAGCCGAGAACAGCTTCTAAAGTAGCCCACTCTGGTGGGTCCTACTCTTCAACCTGACCACTTTTAGTTATGCTTCTGCGGCTGGGGACTTGTGTTATTTATTTGTTTTGGAAATAAATTTCATGTTAGTACTGTTTTGGGAGGATAACAATGGTCCGCCGATGCTTTTGTGGCCAGTCTCTGTGGTTTGCTGTGGCTTTTTACCGGGATTGGTAAATGTTGCTTCGAATTTGGATATTGGCCATTGTTCCAAGGCCCTATGTCTGTTGCGTGAAATATGCCTCAATTAATTATCCATGTTTGTGACATACGCAAGCGGAGAATTGATTTGATTTCTGTTATTGTTGCTTTTATCACTATCGATTTCGATTATTCAAAGTCCGTCCCTTTTTAACCCCCGGCGGCAACTGCCGTTCAGCCCTTAGTTCCTGCAAATCAAATGCAATTATGTCGTCCAATCGTCTGAATAGAGAACGGTAAATCGAGTAAACAACAGTGGGCGGAGGTCTGGATAATTTATGGCCACCCATTAATTATTACTCATGCAGCTATGGGGCTATGACTTATCGACTTTAAGCCAATTGGGGGCAAAATAACCAGGCCAAACCAATTCGAACCCAAAAGTCAATGTTAGGGAATTATTTGGTATTTGTAAATTTGAAGGCCAGTTATGAACAGTTTTCGATTGTTTCTGATACAATTCATGGTTTCCATTCGACAGCTAGTCATTTGCAAATTACAAAATATGTAAAATGAACTCTGTGGAAGTGCACTTTGGTTTTTGGTAATTATATAAAATACTTGTGGTTTTGTAATAATAGTAATGTAAATTTTCGAGTCTTAATGGAGGATTTTTGGGAAATAACTTTATATAAAACCCATTAAAAATTATATTATTATTATATTAAAAGTAAAATTACATTTCGAAAATTACCTTTTATAATAGTTTTTCCTTTAATTTTTCCATTCTCTCTTCTTTTCTCGATTGCAGGACAAACTTCCGGCAATTTCGCGGCATAAAATGTTTGCCACCAATATCCGTTCGGTTGCCGTAGGAATCGTCGTGGTGCCGTGAGCTCGTCCTGTCCTTTTCGCGAATCCTGATACTCATTTCCGGTGCAGCCGTCGTTTCTGCCATTTTACATTTGCAATTCGAATCGAATCGGCGCGCAAGGACCTTTTCTATTTTCAGTTCCCTTTTTTTTGCTCTTTCACGTTGCATATGCGTGGGCTAATTAGCATGCAGCATTTGCAGCAATCAGAGTAGGGAGCGCACAATAGGAATAATAACGCGGAATGGAAGAGGATGTGTATGCCTCGCTAGGTGCCTACAATGACAGCGGTGGCGAGGAGGATTGGGCCAGTTCGGAGCACCTAGTCCTATGGGGGGAGGAGCTATCAGGGGAAAATGCCAGCAATCGGCATAATCAACTGCAGCTGGCCAGGTGGAATGTCAGCAATGCCACCATCATGGAGGATGTACCCTTCGATGCCAACAACTACTGGGCACTTTTGGCCCTTGTTCTTGTCCTGGGCACAGCGGCCGGGAATATCCTTGTTTGCCTGGCCATCGCCTGGGAACGCCGACTGCAGAATGTGACCAACTACTTCCTCATGTCGCTGGCCATCACCGATCTGATGGTCGCCGTCTTGGTCATGCCGCTGGGCATCCTTACTCTGGTGAAAGGTGAGTCCTTTGTCCTATTCAAAAACCTCAACAGAGGTATTTTCTTCAGCCACCCATTGTTGAGTGACCGGCAGGAAAAAAAGAGAAGAAAAAAAAGTACACTTGAGCAACTCACTTGTGTGGCAAGATTGGCTTGTGCTAATCTTACTTGGGAAAGTTTTTTTTTATTTCATAATTTCATAGTTTATTCTAAGGAAAATGACTTTGTGGAAAAGTTGGGGGAAAATTGAAATTGATTACTATGCGTAAGGGGTTCTTAAAAAATTACAAAGTAAGTTTTTGTGTGGCACATATATAGGGGTAGCCGATAAACTTTTGAAATTAGTAAAAAAAAATGTTAAAGTAGCAAAGCTAAGCAACGACTTACTCGTTTACTTGGTGAAGATTTCCCAACTTACCTTAGCTTATACTTGAAATATGCAATTTAAATGCACAAAATTACACACAAGAAATGTTATCATAAATTGACTTTCTAGGAGTCATCTATATAAAGAAACTTAAAACTTTTCACAGAATATAGTTCTTAATATTGACGAGAAAAATATGTATATTTATGGATTCCCTTTTGCTCTCCAACTCAATACGCATAATAATCTCTCCAAGTGGAAGAGTATAATAATCAAAGTCAGCGCCTGGGACGTGGCAAGGACATTGAGGAGCCAGGACCTCCTGTGCAGTGTCGCTAACACGAGGCACACACAGGAGTTGCATTTAATGAAGCTGCTGGTGGGGGAGAATGATGCTGGCGGTGTGCAGATTGCATTATGTCTCAGATATTTCGATCAAAGCTGGAAAACGTAAGCCCGGATAGAAAAATGCAATCGACGGTGGTGTGGGTTTAGGCGACTGTCAGACAATTTAATAAGCGCGCCGCCTTTGTAGCCATGGCTGGAAACTCTGCCGGAGACAGGGAAGATAGACCAGAAAACAATGCCAAGGAGATGGCAACGGAAGCTGGCAAAGCTTTTCGCAGGCGGCGGACCAACTGCAGCATAAAAATTGCATTAGAGGCGGCAAACGAGCGCAGGCGAATTTCGCTTTGACTTAGTTCGGCTCTGGAAACATCTGCCGGAAGATTTTTATCCTGCAAGTGCACTGAGAGAAATGTCTTAAGACTACTTTAAAAGTAAAATATACAAAATAGAAATCCTTTTTTGGAAGCTGAGTGCTACATCCGTCGCCAGCTTAATGCTATTCCTTCGATTTTGGAATAGGAATTGCTGATTTGAGGACTGCATTTATCTGAGTGCTGCTTCCGCCCCCTCCTGTTCCCATCCTTGTTTTTCTTTCTGCGCCACCCACTGCAGATGCTGCAACACTGATGACAGTTTTGTTTGTGCGCTTTGGGAGCCATTACAAACACAAACACAACCTGGCAGGGACACACGCACGGAGGCACCTGAAGCAATCCTTGGCAAAGTGAGCAATGTTGCAAGAAGAAGGGCCAACAAATGGCTGCTTGTTATATCAAGTGTGAAAAATATTGCTGGCAGTGGCTGCAGTTTGCCTGCCAGCTACTACGAAGCAAGCAAGGACGAAATCGGGATTTGCCTGCTGTCGAGGACTTTTTCAGAAGGATCCTGCGATGAAAGCTAAAATCTACAAGAGAACAGAAGGCATTAGATCCGAAGGCTTTAGCACTCACAATGCAAAAGACATGGCAACTGGATATGAGCAAGCCATGCAGTACATTAATTGCATTGGTTAGACAAGTTACAGTACTACCAAAAACTAACCTGTCAACTAACTTGGCTTTCGGTAGTGAAAAATAGCATTTTACTGGCTGAAAAGCTATGGTGCCTTTGGGCTAATGGGCGTATACGTGATATTTTTCATCTAAATTAACTGAATTTGAAATAAAATATTGTTCTAAAATCTACTAGAAGCATGTACATTTAGTTTAGGTCTTAATGCCAAAAAGAAAAAATAAATAAATTAATAATTAATTCCATTAATAATGTGACTTTAATACCTTTTTATGGAAAAATAATCGTAAAAATGTTCCTAAATCTTCCAAAAATGCAATTAAAGTTATCAGCAATATAAATAATGAATATAAATATCAATAAAATATAATCGAAAGGTTTTATTAATATAATTAGGCTTTATTTAGTCAGCATTTAAAACCATTAAAAGCTTATAAGGAATTAAATATATTTAATTATCACGCAAAATCTTAACACTTTTACATTAAATTCTATAAAATTATTAAAAATCTCACAGTTGCCTATACCGTCTGACATTTTCCTCCTGTCACTTGCATTTTCTATCTTATTTTTCCCTGCTTAATCAGTCGACCTTTGACCACAAGGCAAATGCAATTAAATGCCGTGGGACATGCGTTGATGCCTTTTAAGTGATTGCAATGGCATGGCGAGTGCGTGAATTATGATCACGTAATTACAACATAATTAATGCATAATTAATTTCATTTTAAAATCTGCATAAAACGCCAGTTAATTAATAACAGTAAACGCAATTACTGCATAGCCATCAAAAGCCAGAGAAAAACTGAAAACTGAAAAATGAAAAAGGGACAGCAAATGAAATTACAGCGTCCCATCAATGGCCGTGAATATTTAAGTAAACGCGAAAAGCTCGCAAAATGTTTGCAACTTAATAAATTATACTTGGGATGGAAAATGATATACAAGACAACGGCCACAAATATAAAATACAAAAAAAAACATAAAAAAATGAAAAGCCAAGCGAAAAAAAAGGCGAGAGACGAGAGGCAACAAAATTAATTGAGCGCAAATTGGTGAAGCTGTGATTTTCAGCGTCAAAAAAAAATACAGAAAGGAAACAAAATAGGCAATGAAATTTTACACAGATATCTTACTGTGCAGAAAATCTGGGGTGAGGTGGGGTTGGTTAGGAAAATGGAAAATGGGCAAGTGGGTTGTCAAATGGCTGGGATTTCTTCGAAGGGGATGGGGCTGCTAGACGGCGCGTGGCTTACACGAGAAAAACCATCTAGAAAACAATGGGGTTGGGGGAACGAATTTATCATTCTACCAGAGTTTCTGTTTTTCCTGCTGCTCTTGTTGTTGTTGTTGTCAAAAAGCATTTTAAGCGCTTAAGCCAGAGCATAAGCTGCGACACGCACCAATCTCAAGGAGATGGGCGTCCCAGGAGTCTACTTTAAACCACCCAAAATGGCAGTGATGGGAAATAGCCAAGTTAGTTATATTTAGTTAGGTATTTTGTGGTAGTATTAGTTAATGTTTTAATGAATTTTCTATAAATAATATCTAAGCTTTAAATTTGTTTCATTATTTTCATGTTTACTTTGAATTTTAATCTATTTTTGGGTGCATATTTTATTCTTTATGATTACCTTCCGTGACGACATTCTCCGTTTGATATTGAGCTCGTTTTTGTATATGTCATTTATATTACATTGAATAATCATCCCAATCATATATGTAGACCGAATATATATATCATTTACCTTATCTATATAAAAAACTAGAACCTTTTCCATCACTGTCGTTTGGAGTTCTGTCAGCGCACTTCTTGGTTAAACAGAAAATATGGAAATTCCCCCTTTTTATCAAATGAATTCATGAAAATGTCATCAATAAAATACAATCAATTTCTGTTCTATTTGATATTTTAATATTCAGCTAGAGCTGCATAAATTCGTCGAAATCTTCAAAAACAAACGTCGCGGCATTTCAGTTGAAGGCCCAATTGGGAATGCTTCGTTTGGCAATCAGATTCCTTCATTTCATAGATAAACGAGCCGCAATGAGCCAATGCCAAAGTTAAAGGCAAAAGTTGGATAAACTTTTCCCAGCCACTCCCTCCCTTCTAGCCAAAACCCCACAATTTCGGTCATTCTTCCCTGCCGCCTGCCCACTAGTTGGCTTTATCATAAATCTTTAAGCTACCTGAAGGCGGCCAAATGGGCTAAAAGGTGGGCGATGGGTGGTGTTTCTTTTTCCGGCAGGGGGAATTGACATGTCTACGCATAGCAAATGGCAGGCACAAAATGGCAGCTGTCGGCCGGCTCACAGCAGCCAATTAATTTTTGGTCAGCACCCAAAAACGAAGAAGGCAGCTCAACAGCAGCAGTAACACCACTCATCATCCCAACCTAAAATTCAGATTGGGAACCTAATGAAGTCGGTGAAGCCCCAAAAAATCGGTTGTGTTTAAAGCACCGTTATGGAGTGCGACGTAGGTGAACTGGGGCGTGGCCAAAGAACCCTTTTGGCAATCAGTGCGGAATTTGTTTTGTTTTTGTGGTCAGACGGAGTAAAGAGCTCATCCGAATGGGTCAGATGAGTGCGTGTGGGTGGGCGTGTTGAAGGTGGGGGAATCCCTGGAGCAGCTGTTCCACGCCCGCACATCCATCAAGTTGTCATGGAGAGGAGTCACCAACTGACACGCTGCCTTCTGGAAACTATGCACTGGGAAAAATCAACTAGAAGTTAATAAATATATAATATTATTATTAGTTTTAGCAAATATACTTAAAATTAAACTTAATTAAACTAACATTAAAGTTACTTAAGCTTAAAAATTTGAAATATTATCACATAAGAAAGCTGCATCAGGCCTATTATTTCTATCTACATTTTTTCTCTCAGTGCATCACTATCCCTTCAGTGGCCTGTGCGTGTGTGTGCAGCTATGTGTAAAAAGTCAGGGGATATCTCGCACTGCTGCACATCACTGAAAACGCTTTAGTTTTAGTTTCAGTTTCTGGTTTTCTGTTTCTCCTGAGGTCCTTCGTCTTCCGTTCAGGATCTTAAAGTTCTCGTTCCCCTAGACATATGAATATATACTCGTATGTCTATATGCATCCGAGTCGACTGCCTCTGCTCGCCTCTGCTCATTACTTATGCAAAGTCCTTTTTAGCTGTTAAGTGTTTTGTGTCTACTTACAAATGTAGCTGTAAATCAAGCGGAAGTCGTTTTGGCGGGGCATGCCCCTTTTGGGAGCTCCGCAAAGGGGGGTTGCGAAAAAGGGGAGTCGCAATTGACTGCACGGGTTGCGGGTTGCCATTAAATTTTTCATGCGTTTACTATTTCCGTTGTTGTTGTTGTTGTTGCTGGGTAAAAGTACCGCTTTTCGTGGCCAACTTAAACGTAGCCAAAGAGCCAGGGTGCCGAAGGATTTCAAAAGGAATTTTATAGGTCCGCCATGCATATATGCAAATCCTTTCTTTCTTAGATTGGGCACGGAAATTGATTATACCAATATACCGCCCGGCGCGAGAATAAAAGTTTTGCTGAGTCCATTAGGCCACCGAGTCCGCCCATTTGTTTCGATGATTTAAAGTCAGCTATCTGAAGAATGAAAGTTGAGTTCATTATGGGTTAAATGCAAATCAAGTTGAAACTGTAGACGATTCGAAAGCCAGTTTAATGCCCTTAAAACTTGTTTGCTCAGCCAGGAGCTGTAAATATTTTGAAGTGCCTAAAGGGGTTGTCTGGAAAAATGTTTCTTAAAGTGCTTTAACTTAATCAGCCTTAATAGAATCATAAAATATAAGGCATTACTTATTAAATAGCTGTTATCGTGTCATAAACACTTAATAAATTTCCCCCTCCAAGACCAACAATTGCAAAATTACACTTTCTATGATTAATTGAACGAGCAGAGCAAACAGGCGTTGCAAAAAAGGGAAAGCCAAGGCAGTACAAAAAAGAAATGCTAAAAGCCATTACTCTAATAATATTTGACTTGAATCGATAACTTGTCTAAATTGCAAATAGCCAAAGGGAAAAGTGGTTCCAAGGAGTTGCTACAGAGTACAGAGGCAAATAAACAAGGAGCTGGCAGGATAAACAGCTTGGCAGACAGGGCAGAGTGGAAAATAAACAAGGCAAGTTCGGTGAGACAAGTCAAGGAAGTGGAACACCAAACCAAAAAGCCAGGTAACCAAGACCCAGACCAAGACCAAGAGTGAGACTCTCACCGGACTGCCTTGACAGACAATGCCAAAACAATTGAGGTTGGGCCCCGGCACATGGTTAGGGGTCGACGGAAAGGACATGTGATGGGAACAGACATTTGCTCGAGGAGCACGTATTTGCCTTTGTGGCAGCCGTTGCCTCGAGACTAGGGTTTAGCGACTCGAGACTAGAGAACCACACTGGAACAGGGCCACCGCCATGGAAAACCCAGACTAGACCCAGGTCGAGGCCATTAGGAAACAGGCTAGCCTGAGTTTCACTAAATGAATGACACACTTCCGTTACTTTGGAGGCCAAGAAGTGGGCTATATACTAGTATGTTAAAGCCTGATTCCAATGACATATGTATCCTTACTACTATATTTCTATCTTGTTTGAAATTAATATAAAGGTTATAAAATGGATCGAATCAAGACCTCTAAGACCTTTTTTAAACCTTTTTGAGTACAGATTAGATAAAGAATTCCCATTATGGATTATCTTTTCCAATAATCGATTGATACATCTGGCTTATTCGTACTGCTTCACCCATATTAAGTCCTTAAAGAGCATCAATAATGAGATACGAGCGGACAGGACAAGGGACAATTCGAATGCACTTTTGTAAATTGCCTGACAGATGGCTATTGTCGTTCCCTTTTCGGTCTCCGCATGTGAGCTGCCGAGTGAATTGTGGCCAAGTGGAAGGACTCAGCCATTATTCATTCATCGATTGTTTGCATGCGACTGTTGGTAAGGAAAGCAGAAAGGAAAGGACTCGAGGTGGAACTCGAGGAAGGAAACGCCCCACGATCCATGACTGCAAACATTTTCCGCTCGTATATTATTTTTAAGTAAATGGCAACGCTAATGGATTAAGAAATGCATTTTTTATAGTCGTCACCCGCTTTGCCAGTTTAATATTTAATTCAAATAGCAATGGCAATGGCATGGCAATGGCATTGTGAAAGCTTTCTTGCACTTTAAGTGGCCGCAGGTTCATTTGCAAAGGGGCAAAGTAAGTGCCATGTAATTTATGTGCCGCCTCGCTGACACTCGGCAAAAGAGTGCGAAAACTGCCGCAAGTCGCTGAGACCCACTGCAGTGGCTTTCACGCCATGGTTTTTCCATCTTTTCATGGCAACTTGAATGGCGCCCCCAGTGTCCTTTTGTCGCATGCTTACTCTGCGATGGCTTAAAGCTTTCACTGGGTTTTTCTCATTTTATTTTTTGTATTTTTTGAATGCACGCTTTCACCGAGTATTTATTTAATTAAGGAGTCAAAGAAAAGTCGCATGCAAAATACCGAAAGGAGGGAAAAATCCATCGGTCTCCGGGATTTTCAGCCCCATCATTGGCCACTTCATTTATCAAGCTTTGACACTGACAGGACGTCCGAGTTTGCATCAAGTTTCGGCTATCCTTTTCGGGATTTGATTAACGAGCCGTGGCTTTGGACAACTTTTGGCCAGCTCCAGGACTAACAACATTGCTCTAGCGGCAATGCGGAATTGTCAAGTCATATTTCATTTTTGGTCAACGCCCACGACGGACAAATTCGAATGAAACATCATATCGCATTTGTATCTCGCTTTTTCTTCACCGAGCTAAGCTACAAGGGGTTTTTTTCCTGGACCTGGAAGAGCGGTTTGCGGGTCGAGTGTCGGGCGACAAACAGCGACGCATTTGCGTGACGAGTTCGGCCCTGTCCTCCCACTTCAAGTTGACTGTCAACAAGCATGGCGACCTTGCCGCAAACTTACCTGGACACTGAGAGAAAATAACTGGACTATAGAGATTTTACCTCTGTTTATCAGCAAGAACAATGATTATTTAAGGGACTTAATTACTCCTTTATTTTAATGAAAATATCATAATTAAAAAAAAATATTATATAAACTTTTTCTCTGTGTTTCTGCACATGCCCGGCTAAGCACACTTAAGAACATAAAGTCCAATACAGGCAGCAGCAGCACGTGCTTGCCCTTTGACAACGCTGCGTATGCGTAATGCGGCCTAAGAACCTAGCATTGCTTGTCCTGTTCCATGGTACTCGTACTCCCACTGTTTTGGCACGTGAGTTATAAATAATTATAGACAACGAAGTAACCAAAAATTATAACGTTAGTCTCAAATAAAATGCCAGGCACGTTTTAGCTGCCTTTGGCTTAACAACGACAGCGACTGCGACTCGAATAATTGGAGAGACCAAAAGCCTCTTTTAAGGCAAAACCACTTGTACGTATTCAACGGTCGCGACCGCCATACGACGTGACGGGTCCCAAATTGGAATTATTGCCATCATGTCACTCGATTAGTGGCGTTAAATTGCCAAAGCTACCTCTCATCCTGGGCTGCCATTATCCCAGAGTATCCCAGATTCCCAGGATCCCAGGACCCGCGTTGGAATCATTTGCATCTGCTTTGATACGCTCGCTTCGTTCGACTAAAAATGCGTCTGCTTGGCATTCTGTTTAGATCTTTATTGTCCTCCTCGCCGCTGCTGCCGGCTATCATTTAATATCCTGTCACTTAAGGACACTGCCCGGACAGGCTAAAACGTGGCCAGGACCATCTTTTTTTTTACAATTCTTTTGTGGTCCTAAAGCTGAAAGTTATTTGCAAAAAAAAGTTTTTAAACAAGTTGAAGGTGAACCTTTAAAGTTGTTTGTGAAAATATTATTGTTTTATTGATTTAATTTTGTTAGTAGACAAACTTAATTTGATTTGACAATTTGCCTGTGTGGATTTGTTAAATCTTCTAATCAATGCCAGGCCCAAGGCGAATTCTGTTGGAAGCAGAAAGCCATTAAGAGATTTATATTTCAGCAATTTCAGCTTTAATAAACCACTTTAAATGGCTTACAATACAGCAAAATACTTGGAATTTCCAGAGCTGGACATTTTTATATGCATGTCAAAAGGTAAATATTTCTAACTAAGATGTGTGAAATTTATGAGTATCTATCACAAAATGTAGACTTGAAAGTGATACTCATGTAGAGCTACTGCAATGTTCTTATAGCTCATATCATACTTAACACAAATTTAATAAGAATTTAAGAATTTATAAAACTCAGAAAATAAATAATTGCATGATTTTTTCTTTCTAAAAAAAATCTGAAAAATGTAACTAATTATTAGTTATTTTTCTTCATTCCACTTCTATCATTTTACCCTCAATTGTACATAACAAAATCTGTTTATTTTGAGCAAGTTGAGTTTGTGTAACAGAACCTATTGCTTGTCTAAAGGAAACCAAAACCTCGGGTTGCAAAACATAAGCCACAATATCAGAAAACCAGAAGCCACAATGAGGAAATGCATATCGTGTGGATTACATCTGCATATGTGCCGGTTTCATCAGGTCCAGAAATTTTGATTTAATTAAATTCACATAGCCCATGACCAGTTTCCTCTTCTATCGACATATTGTTAATTTTTTGCCTTGACCATTTTTGGTATTTCATTAAAATTGTAGCACAAGCTACTATGCAAATATAAACAGAGGCATATGGAGACTAACATTTAGAGTGCCTTCATATACATAAAACTTAATTTTCATATAGTATAACTGCTGGTCCAAGTCAGCATTTCTGTGAAGTGCCTCTTTCAAATTAAAATTTAGGTAACAAACCGGAAGCTTGCTTGGGCAAATATTCAAAATGACACGTGTCGAATACAACTATGACTTCCATAAAGCTACGTTTTTATACATTTTCATGGTGTAGAAGAATATATATATAAAGCTGGTGGTTTAAGCTATTCAGCAGTATTACCCCTGCCAATATATATTTTCTTGTATTTTTAGATCGGTGGCTTTGAGTTTATAATGCCAAATCGAGCATACAAAAGCTGTGGCGCCGCAGCAAAGACAATTCAAATTATGCATAAATCTCAATATAATTGACATTGAACGACAAACTTTTGCTACTTTGCTTAGAAATTTTACGAGACTATTTTTACCATTTGAGAGGGCGTCTTTTGGCCTTAGACAGGCGGCAGGCTATTATATCCAAGTCAAGCCCAGTGACTCACACAAACAGTGTCGAAAAGTTGGCCAATGTGAATGAAAGGATGATTTTGGTTTACCAAAACTCCCACAGACTTTTCCTTTCCCTTTTTGTATATTCATATATATATATATATATAGTCGTTTATATATATGCCATGTGTGCATGTTCATTGTGAAAATTATGCGAAAAGTTTTTCGTTGGCCTGAAAACGACGGCAGAAAGTATATTAAATTTTGCATTGCACTTGGCCATGGCCAGTTGCACTTTGGCAAAATCTGAGCCACAAAAGCCTCTAAAATAGCTCAAAAGCATTTTGAGGTTTTGGCTTTCCGGCCGGGTATGAGTGTCCATTGAGACTTTTCTGCGGTTTGTCCGCCTGTCCGAAAAAAGCGATACAAAAATGTTCCAGCAATCCAAAGTTTTCGTTTCTCTTCCGGTCTTTAACATGGACAGGCTAAATATGGCTAAGACATGTGGAATCATTTTCAACATGCCATGAATACTTGTTGTTGGAAAATGTTGTTTAAAAAGATAATAGTTCAGTGCCTAAGAGCTTTTTTAAGTCTATTTTGCGTTAAAGAGATGCTCTGTATTCCGAATTAAAAATTCAATTGCCTACTTTTAGGCAACATTATTAATGTTAGCCCCTGGGGTAGCTATAAATAGTCCTTATAACATTAAGTGCTCTGCTTTTACAGCTTATTTGATTAAGTTGAAGCAAGAGGTGGGGGAAATTCGAATTAAGCTGTGTTGAGGAAACATCTGCAGCTGAAATACTTATCAGTGTCTCGTGTGTGGTTGTCGCATAAATGTCTCAAAAATATGCTCTTGTGCGGCCGAAAAACAAAACCATAAAGATGAAATATGTGTGTGAGTGAGGCCCATGCACATGCTAAATTCGCCCTAGCGTCGACATCTTGTAATTTTATTTTATTATGGCCTCCCAAAAAAAAAAAAAGGACGACACCGTATCCTGGGTGTAGCTTGGACCTTTTATATCCACATGAGGAGAAAAGTTTGTAATATCTTCGGATGTTCCGGTTGTCTCAACAAATTGGCAAGGAAACATACTAAATAAACTGCCGGCAGCCGGTATTGATGGCATGGCTAATGACCTTGAAAGTGATATGGGATCCCTTTTTCCTACCTTATTGTTTTGGGGTTTGTTTTGGCAAAGTTTCATCATAATTTGATTGAAAACAGTTTGGCGACCCCAAAAAACAAATCGAAAACGGTCTGTGGTCCAAGCCTTGAGACTTTAAATTATTTAATAAAGTTGTTTAAGGAAAGTTTTGTCATTGTTTGGGAAATTTTCTAATAGAAACAGTGGAAATATTCTTTAAGGAAATTGATATCCATTTCCAGGATGAAAAACAGACCAAAACTTAAAGTTATTTCAAGGACTTCCTTACAAACTTTGCTTTGGTGTTTAAAACTTTTTGCTAAGGTATATTTTCTTATTGATAAAATGTTTATTATTTTTTTTTGGAAACCTATAAAGTCAATCCTTAACCTTCTTTGTTTGCCTCTTGAAAACTTTACTTATTGGCATGTTTTCCTTACTGATCTAAACAATGAAAACTTTCAGTTTGCGTGAGCTGTAACTAATAGATGCTGTTGGTGAAAATGCTGAATGGGTTTTCATTGGCTGTATGTATTTAAGCAGACTTGCAATAACTATGCACTGCACAACAACAATAAGAATAACAACAACTGATGAGGGAGAAAACAAAGGTATTACAAGTGCTTTGTAATCTATTTGAAAAGTTTTCCTTCGAGCAGGAAAACACACGCCAGCACGAAACGAAACCAAAAAACGAGAATAATAAAGCAGAAAATGGGTGGAAAAGGAAGAAGATGGAAAGTCTGCTAAAGAGTCTATAAGAAAAACTCTCGTAATAGACAAACAATGAGTATAATGAAACGTTGAGGCGTCGTGTAATGACGCAACGGAAGCGAAGCAATTTACGTTAGCTTCCAGCGAGCGAGTTAGGAGTTTAATGAATGCGAAGAATAGAGCGCTCAGCTTAATGACGTTGCTGAAAATGGTGGAAAATCGCTGGGCGGAAAATCGAAGCAGTCGCCACTTTATATGCCACATTAGAGCAATGTCAATAGCAGGAGCAAAAGTTGCGGTGAAAAAATGAAAGCCGGAAGGAAGGACGGAAGCATCCAACAGACACACAGACAGACACACCTCTCATCCACCTATTTCACCCCCCTTGCCCATGACTTCTCACGTTAAGCGATGCGGAAACAATACAAAAATAAAGCTGTGTAAATACGAAAAAAAGAAAAATAGGAAAAGTAGTAGAAGACGGGAATAGAATGGCAACCAGTATTTAATGGAGGGCCAATAGCACTCGACGAGACATCAAGAGCCACAACAATTATGGCAAAACTTTGATGAGTTGGCCAAGTCGGACAAGGAGATACTCTTTGAGATACTCTTGGCATATTTGGGTATATGATGAATAGTTCTATACTAAATATTTTTTATATAAATATTTTAATAAATATTTCTATACCATAATTTTGTGAAGTAACTCAAAATTCAAGATCAAACAGTCTGTCTAAAGATAATTACCTTGTTAATACAAGCTATTAATCAAAGTACCCTCCGTAATTCCCTTATTCTTGTCACCATAAACAGACCTTAAACTTATTAAAGTGGGACGATAACGGACCTGTTGAGTATTCCGTCCTCCCACCATGGGTTCACAGCATTTTAGGGATGTCTGAGCTGTCAAAAAAAGAGAAATAAAAAAGCAAAGAAACAGAGACAACACAGATACGTATTAAAAATTCAATACGACAAAAAAATGTGCTTATAAAAACTTGTTAGAAATTTAATTGAATTTCGTGTCTTTTTCCTTTATCTGTCTGCTGCGCTCGCCATGTGATTTTCCCCAACACAAACAACAATTTATTTATATATATTTGCTTTGGGACCCAGACACCAGGACTATATGGACCAAAAAGGACACCAGCTTCTCTCCCACTCATATGGATGTATGAAAATTTGTTGTAGTTTCAGTTTTCCGCCCTTTGCTAAGCTGG